ACAGCCCTTTTTCCCATTGAACGCCTTGAGGGCAAAACGCCTGCTTGACGGGCACAAACTGTCGCAAAAGACTGCTGAAATTGGAGCCTTGACATGCGCAGAAGGATTGTCTGATGGAGCCAGAGGAGGAGCCGCGAAAATGAGCAGAGTCGAGCTTCCAATCAAACGCTTTATGTAAAATCAACCACGCCCCCCGAATTTCTCAGCATGCGTTTGCTGTCATATCAACACAAATGGATGTAATAACGTTAACAAATATGAGGGTTTTATATATTCAATCGCGCCAGCTTCAGGCCGCAGCGCATAACTTACTCGCGGCGTCGCGGGCTGATTCCGGCTCGCATGCGGCAGCGTCTGCTCGCTCGGCCGCCGCATCTGGCTCGATTGACTCGGACTGGAATCGGGCAGTGAGTCCAGGCATCCGGAGTAGGTCCAGCAGAGGTAACATTAGTCAGTCTGAGCTCAAAGAGATAAGTCTCCGGCAGGCGAGAATCTAGCCGGAACTGTGTGTGGCTATCTGGTTGGCTAGGCGTGTATCAGCAAACTAATAAAGCCCGAAAAAAGCCCTGAACTTAGCGAATAAACAGTGTTCCACCAGGATCATGTATGTCAGAAACTATAGTTTACTGCTGAACTCATTTTGTCATGGTAAAATAACACAGAAATCGAATAATAACATTTCAGTCTACTTCAGTCTCCTGCCGAAGCTCAGACGCCGCGCTTTGAGAAACTGTCAATCACAGCTGTCAATCACGATGACACGCCCAGCATTAAATTACTGCTAAAAACAAACTGTTTACAAAAATGAAGATCTGCACCTATTTCAGCACAATAACCAGTGCCTTAATCGACCAGAACTATCTTTCGGGACATTTTATTGCAAGTGTAATATTTTTTTTTATTTGGGCTCAAGTCTCCTTCATTAACACGGAGGAGGCGGGCTTTATGACTTGTACTGCAGCCAGCCCCCAGGGGGCGATCTAACGGCCGAAACCTTCACTCAAACGTAGGCTTGCGGCACACTTGGGTTACACACAGTAAACGGTGGTGATTTTGGTAAACTGAATACCTTCACGTCCAATCACAGTCATTTCTGTTGAGCATGTGAATACAATGGCAAATCAGCACTGTTTAAGAATGTGCTCAACAGCGCTCAAAATTTCAATACCGATTGATACCGAATTCCAGTATCGTTGGTACAGAATTCTAGTACCAAAACCCTAGTATGATTATTTTACATGCGTGTATATTTCAGAGTACATCACACTGTGTGTGAGCAGGCACTGACATGAGCTGCTGGGATGCTCATTAATATTCATGACCAGTGTGCGAAACACATTGACGATCGGGGGGTCAACTTTTTAAGGTAGTAGTTTGGTAATACATGCTTCAGTGAATCAAATATATGATTTATTTAAATTGCAACAAACTTCTAATTAAATTTATACGTTTTCAGTGTTTTGATGGTTATCTAGAGCAGGAGTTCTCAACTGGTTTGGCCATGGGACCCACATTTTTACATGGTCATAAAGCCGTGACCCAAATTTTTAGGAACTATAATACAATTTTAGGAATTATACTTAATTTGTATTTATTTGTTTACATAAACAAGTAGTGACAGATACATCATAAAAAAATCACCAAGGCTTACAAATAAACACTATTTTATTGCTGTCATTTAACAAAATGGATCAAATTAACAGAAATATTACAAAAATGACAAATACTGTTAATAATAAACTGTTAATAAAACATGTTTTCTGGTTTCTAAATGTTGTTTTAATTTAGAAGGTTTCATGCTCTCTTATGAGAGCACCTCACTACATATGACACTGAGGCTTTAAGTCTTTTTTGTCGTCAATATATATATCCATACTTTACATATTCAGGGTCGTATTTGTGCTTGACATATTTATTGCAATAATTAAATGAAATTTTACATGTCAAACGGTAGGGTTGTGGCGCACGCATTTCAAAATAAAAGTACGGGATAAGCAAATAAGTAAAAAAATTTACTTTAGTTGTTTTTTTTTTATCACACACTCCACGACCGACTGAAAATGTTCCCGCGACCGACCCACCAGTTGAGGAACACTGATCTAAAGAATATTTTAGAGGTCAAATATATATTTATATTATACATATTTAATTATTAATAGTTAAGATATAGATCACAGATCTGAGCAATTTCTTACTATTAAAGGGCTGCCCCTGATACATCCATCTTTTTGATGTCCTTCAGGAGGGATCATGCATTACCTAGGGGGGGTCAATCCCTCCAAACCCCGCTGTAATTCTCACCCTGTTCACAACCCTTCCAAATATGGTCAAATCAGACCTTTGTATCCTAGAGTCAAATTCTAAGATTATAAGTGTACATGTAAAACAGTTTCTGTAGACTTTTGCACAGACCTATTCTAAATACTTACTATTTATATATCAGAGAACTATTAAACATATCTTCACCTTGAAATTATAAAGTTCTATCTGCATTCTGAATGATTTTGAGATATTGAGCTTCAAAGTTTTTTGCATTGCGTATAGCAAACAGTATGTGTGTAACATTTGTTTAGTGAATAAAAAGTCTTAAAACGTCTTACTAAACATCCCATAATGTAAACAAGTTGTTATTTAATAAGAATGTCAGTAACTTAATTTTGATAAAAATGTCAGATAGAACCTCATAATTCTAAAGTGACGATATGTATTTAACCATGTACAGTGGTGTATTTAAAAAAATAATAATTCCAATGATAAAAAAAAAATAATCAAAGCATCCATTTGTCCATTTTTGCCCCTCCCTATCGTTCATCTGCCCATTTAACCTTTCAGCTGATCAGATCAGCAGTTTTAACAGCCACAAAAGAGCCAGACTTCCGGCATCAAATCCATCCTCTCTTAAACACACAATGGCGCGTGTCTGGGGATCAGAAGTTAACAGGGAATGCAAATCTATATTCTCATCTGAACTGCAAAATAACCACTGATAGCATTTGAATACCGTACAAATACAATGCACAGAATATGAAAACCAACTAGTGCAAAATAAACATGTTCGATGAACTGAATCACACACACAAACCAATACATCCCATTACTGATTAACCTCAAGCTCAGGTGTCAATTATGCAACATTTATGCTAACCGCTCTACTCTGAGGAATAGTTCAGTTTTACTACAAATTAAACTCAAATGACAGTACTTGTCACAAAAATAAACTTGTCCTTTTTCTTTCAAATAAGCTCAAATCTCAAAGACACCTTCAACAGAAATGTGTAATGTAACAGAAAACGCTTTTAAATTATTAGAAATAGTTTGAAAATAAAATGTATATTGTTGGAAGTTTATAACAATCATACTATTTCTATGCAACAATATTTCCACCTATAGAACAATGCAATTCCATGAAATAGAATAGCTTGAAAGCTCAGAACTATCCTAAAAATCTGGTCCCATTAACTGCATTATAAACAACTCTGATTTTTGCTTCTTTTTTTGTACAATGGACTACATTACAGCCTGCAATGAAAAAGTAATATTACTACAAATAGTTTATATTTTAAGAAAGTTCTATGCAATTCAATTTATAAACATGTTAGATGAATAAATCTCATATTTGGAAGTAAAATAACTTGGGTAGCAAGTCATTACAAAGCACTGAAAAGTGTATTAAAGGGATAGTTCACCCAAAAATTAAAACTTCCCTCACCATCACCTTACACTCAAGTGGTTATAAACTTTTATGAATTTCTTTCTCCTGTTGAATACAAAACAAGATGTACTGAATAGGGTCATCACGATACCATTAATTCATATAATGATACTATACCAGCTGAAGTATCGTGATACCAAGTAGTATTGCGATAATGTAATTCATAACTCAAATCTATGAAATAATAAAAATTGTCAGAAATACTATTTTAAAATGTTATATTAGGTCTCCTTGAATTTACTTCATAATTCAATTATTATTGTAAAAACTATTATTTGCACGTTACGTTCTCTAAAATGTATTCGTTCTTTTTGTTTATTTTGTAGATAACAGACCAGCAAAATGCACATTAAAATCACGATACAAATTATACCGAACAAAATTAGTTACAAAAAAAACAATTTGGGAGCAATTTTACCCAATAAATGCATCAAGAATATCCACTGATTTTCATATAATCAATTAAATGAACTTAAACGATTAGAACAGCAACAAGTATTGAGTTGGGCTCGAACTACAAAGCAAAATGTAAAAAAATTTTAAACTAGTGGCGTTTTAAAATCAATTAATGCAAATAATCAAGATAACCACGATTATTTCTTAGACTATAATCATACAACCAAAAGTTATATTTATTGCATCCCTACATGTAAGCATTCCAGTGACTTATCCACCTGCAACACTAGGTATTGTATATAGACTATTAATGACGATACTAGTTTAAAAACTACAGAGGCATCAGCAGTATTTTGGAGCCACAGTATCACTATACTACCATACTACCGGTAAACCGTGCAACCCTTATACTGAAGAATGTTAGGAAAAAGCAGCCATTGGCATCCATAGTAAAAAAAACTATAGAAGTCAATGGCTGTTTTTTCAACATTCTTCAGCATATCTTGTTTTTTGTTCAACAAAAGAAACTCAAAGAGGTTTGAAACAAATGGAAGATGAGCAAATGATGATAAAATTAAAATTTTTAAGTGAACCATCACTTAAACACTTGTAGAGTTTCCTAAAACTGACACAATCTGCTCAGCCTCAAAACAGAAAAGCCCTTCATGAAAGCGAGAGATCCAGAACAAGAGTCGTTGAGGGTTTGAATAATAAAAGAGCAGTTCTTGGGTGTCACCAAGCTCAAGTTTCGCTCTGGGCTTTGGAGCCCAAGTGAAGACACACACTGTCCTGTAATCATAAAGCATTTTTTTATAACACTCACACCCACCACCCATCATTTAACCACCCACAAACTTACACAAATAGACATAGATATGCCAAAAACACTGACCTGTTCGGCTCCGTAGGCTTTTGCGAACTCAATAAACTCCTCAATATGAACAAATCCATCTCCGTCCTGATCCAAAGCCTGGAAAACTGCTCTGAGAGCAGACTGCTCCTCACTTCTAGGGGCTGTTGCGGAAACTATAGGCACATGAATCAAATCCACAGGCGCAATTTGGAGCGATTTGGTCGGCAGAGCGTCTGAGGCCTTGCACAGATCTAGAGTCATTTCTGCATGTTTGAGAGTATCAGGATTGTTCTCCATCAAGGTCAGGTAGGCCTCTCCATCCAGGCTGGCTCCACAGGGAAAGACATCTCTGTGTGAGGGAGGAGAGCTGGGGACGACTGAGCTCACTTGTTGCTCTTGTGCTAGGTTTATCTCTGATGGTGTCAGTTGATGGAAATCCTCCTGATGTGTAGGCAGAACAGGAAGCCCCGCCTCCCCCTCGCCTGAAGCTTCACCTGATTGGCTAGTAGTCTCTGTGAGATCCAGCCCAGCGAGTCCACCCGTCACGGTCAGCTGATTATCTGTACAGGTAAAGGGAGTGGACTCTAAAGAATCAGGATTACTTGCACAATGAGGTATGACTTGATTCCGAGTTGGTGACCTGCAATCTGATCTCTCCCCTCCCTGTAAAGTCACACTGTGAGGTTTGGCTTCAACATCCTGCAGCGTTTCATGACTTGGTATATTTTCTTCAGATTTATTATCGAATGCAATTGCACTTGATTTCACAGTCAAAGAGTCAGTGAGGGGGTTCACAAGAGCGAGATCTTCCACAAGTGGGTTCGCATTGTTTTGAGCATTGCTTTGTTCCTGACAGGCATCAGTTTTTGGCTTTTGATTGTTGTCATGGACTAAATCAGTCTGCAAATAGTCTGACTGACTTTTTAAACGGGTTTCTAGTTGATTTTGGTGTAAATCTGAGATATCCAAATCCATTTGTGTGTCTAGAATCTCTGTGTGATCTATTGTTTTTGAGTGCTGTTTATCCGTTGCCTCAGGGTTATCGTCAACGTTGTCGGTCTGAATACATGTTGGATTATGCTGAAACTCAAGTGTAAGTGCATCGGATTCAAAATCATGTGAATTTGCATCACAGTTGACTAGTTTTGTAATTTCAAATGAATCTGTTCGAGGTTTTGCTTCGATATTCTGCAGTGTATCATAATTTTCTTCAGATTTATTTTCGAATGCAATTGCACTTGATTTCATGGTCAAAGAGTCATTCAGTTGGTCCACGAGAGCGAGATCTTCCACAAAGTTTTCTTTGTTTTGAGCACTGATTTGTACTTGACAGGCGTCAGTTCCTGGTTCCTGATTGTTGTCATGGAGTAAATCATTCTGCAAATATTCCGACTGACTTTTTAAATTGGTTGCTTGTTGATTTTGATGGAAATCTGAGAGTATTAAATCTGTAAGAGTGTCTGAAATCTCTTTTTCCATTGCCTTAGGGTTATTGTCAATGCTGCCTGTCTGAATACATGTTAGATTATGGTGAAACTCAAGTGCAAGTGCATCGGATTCAAAATCATGTGAATTTGCTTCACAGTCCACCAGTTTTGTGGTTTCAAATGAATCTGTTTGAGGTTTGGCTTCGACATTCTGCAGTGTATCATGACTTAGTAAATTTCCTTCAGATTTATTTTCGAATGCAATTGCACTTGATATTGCAGTCAAAGAGTCGTTCAGTTGGTCCACAAGAGCGAGATCTTCCACAAGTGGGTTTTCTTTGTTTTGAGCACCGATTTGTTCCTGACAGGCATTAGTTCTTGGTTCCAGATTCTTGTCATGGAGTAAATCATTCTGCAAATATTCCGACTGACTTCCTAAATCAGTTGCTTGGTGATTTTGATGTGAATCTGATATCTCTAAATCTGTTAGTGTGTCTGGAATCTCTTTTTCCATTGCCTTAGGGTTATCGTCAACGTTGCCTGTCTGAATAAATGTTAGATTATTCTGAAATTCAAGTGCAAGTGCATCAGATTCAAAATCATGTGAATTTGCATCACAGTCCACCAGTTTTGACAGTTCAAATGAATCTGTTGGATGTTTGGCTTCGACATTCTGCACCATATCGTGACTGGTTAGATTTTTTTCAGATTTATTTTCGAATGCAATTGCACTTGATTTCGTGGTCAAAGAGTCATTCCGTTGGTCCACAAGAGCGAGATCTTCAACAAGTGTGTTTTCATTGTTTTGAGCACTGATTTGTTCCTGACAGGCGTCAGTTTTTGCATTTGGTTCCTGATTGTTGTCATGGAGTAAATCATTCAGCAAATAGTCAGACTTGCTTTTTAAATCTTGTTGATTTTGATGTAAATCCGAGATTTCTAAATCCATGAGTGTGTCTGGAATCTCTGTATTATCTGTTTTTATTGAGTAGAGTTTCACCATTTCCTCAGGGTTATTGTCAACGCTGCCTGTCTGAACGCATGTCACATTATTCTGAATTTCAAGTGTAAGTGCATGGGATTCAAAATCATGTGAACTTAAATCACAGTCAGACAGTTTTGGGAGTTCAAATGAATCTGTTAGAGATAGAATTACAGAGTCTATAGATGTCACGGCTTCGCAAACAATGTTGTCTGTTAACATGCCATCAGGAGTAAGGTCTCCATCGTGGTCGACCTCAGATAAGGCTTGAGTCTGAGCTGAGAATGTTGACTGGCTGTGGTCCTCAGGTAACACGACATTTCCTGATGAGAGCTCAAATAAGGCATTATGCTCAGGTGTGCTGACCGGTAAGGCTGATTTGGACTCCTCTTGTCCATTTTTCCTAGGTAAGCTTTCAGTTGAAGGATCTTCTGCTTGTGAATCGATTAAAGCAACTGGTGCGAGATCTGTTTGAGTTTCAGGAAAAACATGATCAGTTCTAGAGTCCGACGCAGCTTCCTCCTTTACGTCTCCACTGACTGTTTCCAATAATACACCTAATGTGCATCCTGACAATTCTTCACAAAGTTCTGTTTTGGGTTTGGAAAAAGCAGTATTAGTTGTGTTGCTTGACACAGACTTCTTATTTACCTCCTCTTCAACCATTTCCACTGTGCATTTTGTTGACAACTCATGCAGCATTTCCTCACAATGTTCAGGTGATATGTCAGACTCTCCTAATGGACACACTGATAGATGTGTTGTGTCCGTGTTAGCATCTAGCCTTTGGGGCTCAAGGGTCCTGTTATTAGCTGAAGGTTTACTACTCTCCCCTTCTCCACCTTGAAGTTTGGGTAACATCATCTCTACCTCATCCATTGGAAGTGTTGCACTACCCGCGTGATATGGCGGAACATGTGGCTTTGTGCATGTCATCGGAAAGACAGGCTCACAGGGAAGGGCTGAGGATGAGAGGTAGATGTGTTCAGATGCCAAAGGAGGTGTCTGACAAACAATTGTAGGCTTGGGATTTGAGTTTGTATCCACACAAGACACCTCCACAGGAGAAACTGCAAACAAACCTTCAGATTCCAGGATGTTACGAGTCCCATGTGAAAGGAAGTTCTGACTTTCGTTTTCCACACCAGAATTACAACTGAACTCACAGTTTGTTAAATGCGACTCTTCAAGCATAAGGTGTGTGTCTTGTAATAATGTTTTGTCAGTGTGAAGGGTGGGGGCGTTAATGCCCAGCTCACCTGTGCACACATTTAAAGTGCTTGAAGTGGCAGTAACCTCCACCTGTTCAGCATGGTCATAAAGGTTGTTGTCCTGCACTGGTCTGTCCGCCAACGAAGGACTTGCAGATCTAGAATTAAAACAGATGAGATCTCCTTCAACAAGTTGTGAAATTCCAGAATTACCATCTCCTTTGAGATCTTGGGAAGGAGGAGGCTGAGCCTTCCATTCAGGATAAACACAATCCAAACCATTTTCCCAGGAATACGTCTGAGACGCCCAAAATAAGTCATCTAGGTTTATGGCATTCTCCTGAAAAATTTCATTAGTAGGATCTGCAACAGAACTGTTCTCTTTATCCACAAGGAGAAATCCCAGAGGATTCTGATCGGATTCCCACTCCGTTTTTCCGTTTACCTCCCACTCAGAACACCCCTGGGGGCTGGAGAGAACTTGCTCCATTGAAAAGACGAGCTCTCTCTGTTAAATGGAAATATTCCAGAAATTCCAGTCCTTTGTTATGATCCCACAAGGTAATAATGTTCGGAATTCAAAAGCAATTGGTGACCTCTTCCAGCATACGCACCAAAAGAAATATCCTTGTCGAGACCCATGCGTAAGCGTCCACCTCCCTGTAAATGATCAACTACTGTTTACATTTGCGGACACAAGGATAAGGTTTCACTGTTGCAGCTCAGCTCCATGCGAGCTGCGATACTTTTTTTCTCCCAATATGCAAACCTCTCCATAAATAAAAGTTGAGTTTACTTCCCTGTTTTGCATTCATCTAATCCATTTAACACAAGTGTTCTCAAAAGCATGGTCACTCCCATCCAATTTAACTGGATTACCTCAGTATTTCAGGTTACTTCTTGTTAATGTTGTTAATGAAAAATACACCATGTAGGACATTTCATAGAATAAAGAGCTGTATAATTGCAAATATCACACAAATTTCATTTGGGTTGATTTAACTTGTAATCTTTAACTTGCTAGTGCTACAAAAACATCAAGTAAATCATTTATAAGAGGCTTGACACTTCCCTGGAATAAACTACTAAGTATTCAAATCTGGTTATAATGTTTAAACTCTCTTTATACACAGTTTATCCTATTACGAGGCAGTTATTTCAAACGTTTTACTCAGATTAACCAGATTGCCGAGCAATCTGAGTAAACAAAGCTTAACATATCTCTCTTTTTCATATGTTAAACACAGCAGACTATTTTTAAACAGCTGTCATTGTTCCATACTAAAAAAAAACCCTTAAATGATAGATTGTTCCAGTGCGGTTAGCATCAACAGCCTACACATCTGAGGTAAACCTAATAGCCGACTAGCTGGCCCACACGACCCCTTCTCATTTGATTTCCCCTAAAAAAAAAAGACATTTATGATGTTTCCGATTTCTCTTCAGAGTCGATTAAATCCTTCAATTTGGTTTGACGTGAATGTGTTATTCCTCAATTCATCTTTCTTAAAAACAGGCCAAAATCCAGGTCGAGTCTCGCGAGTCATCCACCTGCGCTTGTTATTAGCCTGTTAGCGGGATGAAGACCACCGATAATCCCGCGAATAAAGCGCGATGCTCTTTTATCTCAATCCCTCGGCGGCGATTTATCCGTTAATCTGACATCCGCGGTTTTAGATGAGCTAGCGAACTCCTGTTGCTGTTGTTTTGTTTAATCAACGGATGATGTTTCTGTTATATCTGTCTCCCTCTCTCATCAGCAGCAATACACAACCTCTGCTGTCTCACTCACACACACACACATACACACGAGAGCGCGCGCACACACACACACACACACAAACCGACGTCAGCAACACGCATGCGCAGAGCCGGCGCCGCAGTCTGCCTCTTTAAACCACAGGCGTCAAGAATCCATCCCGTTTTCTATGCCTGCGTTTGCCTGGATTATCATGACGCCGTAGTTTAAGATTGAAAACAGATGTAGAATTATGATTGAAATAATCAAGACAGCTTGCTAGAATTAAACTGAACAACTGTCGTCTACAAATAAACGCTTAGTGGTATTTCCAGATATTTACTTTGACTTTCTTGCGCCCCCGTGTGGGGGAACAATTAATAACAGTCAGAAAAGTAATATTGGTAATTATTATAAATGATTTATTATGAAAACTGTTATGTAAAATACAATAGAAATACAAATGTTTGCACTTTTGTTTGAAAAACATGTATCTGACGTTCAAAATGATGCAAAATCTGAGAAAATCGTCTTTAAAGTGTGAGTTTTTATATATTTACTCTAGGAAATTGACCAAATGTCTTCATGGAGCACAGTCTGTGAATATAAAACAGTTAAAATTTAGAAAACAGCACTAAGTTATGTAGTGTTGAAGGTTTATTTATATTAATGCTGCTATAAGTGGATATTTTAATCTAATATAATTGCTAAACCTTTCGTGAATAATTTGCTAGAAATGTCTAACAACAGTTAAGACGACACAAGGGTTATAACAATCTGTTCAAGTCATATTTCACCTCATATTCTGAAGGGAAAAATCATTCATTACAGTAATGAGACAAAGGAAACTTATTCTAACTACCATAACTGTGGAAAAGGAATGAAAACTAACTTTTCTTGACACTTTTGTTTTTTTGTCAAAAGTAAAAAGCATTTTTAAGTCTTGTTAGGAATTTTGGGTGACATTGTGCTCATTTATAATAAAAAAAGTGTCACAAAATAATATGTTTGTTTAAAAATTAGTTTTTAAGCAGATCATCATCACTTCTTTTCCTTGATTTTGGGGTGAAGAATAACCCGCGTTTCAACAATTCTCATTCAAATGTACTTCAGCAGATTCATTGCATTTTTTTCATCCTCTTGCTATTTATCCTTTCTTTTTTCTGCCATCCAAAAACCTAAAAACACAAGGAAAATGCAAGTTACAATGACATTGTGTGATATTTAACAGAATTGTATACACATATATTTAGTAGTGAATCATTTAATAACAAAAAATTAATTGGAAAAAAATTGTTTACTGACAAGATTTTAGAATTAATTTCCTGATTATGACTGAGGTTTTAAATAATTATTATAATAATTATATTAATTATTTGATCTACATACAGTTGAGGTCAGAACTATTAGCCCCCCTGTATATATATTTTTCCCCAATTTCTGTTTAACAGAGAGAAGATTTTTTTTCAACACATTTCTAATCATAATAGTTTTATTAACTCATCTCTAATTACTGATTTAATTTATCTTTGTCATGATGACAATAAATAATATTTGACTAGATTTTTTTCAGGATACTATTATTCATCTTAGTGACATTTAAAGTCTTAACTAGGTTAATTAAGCAGGTTAGGGTAATTGAGCAAATCATTGTATAATGAAGGTTTGTTCTGCAGACAGTCGAAAAAAATATTGCTAAGGAGGCTAATAATATTGACCTTAAAATGATATTTTAAGAATAAAAAACTGATTTTATTTTAGGCCAGAGATGCTCAAACTAGGGCCCACGGGTCGAAGTTTGCCCATCGTAAACTTTAATTTGGAAAGCAAACGAAACAAATGTGCGCACATCTAAAAATCTCAAAGGCAGGTGCTCGATCAAAAATAAACAAAGTAGCAAAGAATCAAAAAATGGGCACAGTGCCACTTTAGCTCTCAAAAAGTCCTTAAACATCACAAGGTTTCGACCTACATGGTCTCCATTAGGTAAAACAATACAAATTGGAGTACTTGAGAAATAGTCATACAGCTCTACACATCACACCTGCAATTTTACTTATTTCTGTAATGGTGTGCATGTCTTCCATATTGTCATATGTATATTGTTGTATGTATTTGTGCCTCTTTACTGGCTTATTGGGGTGATTGATTGCAGGTGTGATGTGTAGAGCTGTATCACTATTTCTCGAGAACTCCAATTTGTATTGTTTTCCCTGATGAAGACCATTTAAGTCGAAACGTTGTGATGTTAAAGGACTTTTTGAGAGCTAAAGTGGCAGCATGCTGATTTTTTGAACCTTTCATTTGGCCCACCATCCCGTCTGAGAAGAGAGTGAGAATGATGGGAAGGGTTGGAGCGATTGCCTTTAACAGAGATCGTAATTTCTAATTTAACATAACCTTTCTGATTTGTTTTATTGTTGAGCTACAAAAAAGCAAACTGAAATTAAATGCTTCACTTACTGTACATGTTTGTAAACGAATTTGATTTTTAAAACATACAAAAGCACTGTTACTCGACGAGAGGATAATTTAGAAGACATCGGCGAGCAAATCAAGGCAAAAACAGGAGCAGCTTGACTAGTGTAACCCCATTCTGTTATAAATCAGATTGTTTTTTTTTTAAAGATTTATTTTTGGCCTTTTTGTCTTTATTAGATAGGACAGTAACGAGACAGGAAGCGAAGTGGGAGAGAGAGAAAGGCGTAGGGTTGGGAAATGTCCTTGAGCCGGGATTCCAACTCAGGACGCCCTGAAGTGCTACTGCACCGTATGTTGGCGCTTTAACCACTAAGCGGACAATGAGATTGTTTTTAACTGTAATAAGTTCACTATAAAATTAAAAGATAGAAACAGCATTAGGTAATATAAAGCAATGTTTTCTAGTTGTTATTATATATTAAATAAATTAGAAAAATTACCCACGGCAAATTTAATGGAATAGAGTTTGGTATATTTACCTTCGCCCCACTACACAAAAAAAGTTTGGGCACCCCTGTTCTAGCCTAAATAAAACTTTCTCCAGAAGAAAAAATATTACAGGTAATGCTGTGGAAAATTCCTTGCTCTGTTAAACATCATTTGGGAAATATTTTTTTTAAAAACTCACAGGAGGGCAAATAATTCTGACTTAAATTGTATATCCAGCAAACCCCTGTCGTCTACCTTACGCACACACAGACACACACACACACACCTGTGTGCGGTGCAGTCTGTTCATAGTTTTGCAGAGCGAGATGAGACAATACCCAACAGCCGCTCCACGTCATTGGCTGAAGTAAGCCACGCCCCTCCGTCGGCGACCAATACAGAGCCAGTGACGTACGAGGAGGCGCGGCTGGCCAAGAATAAAACCGCGTGCGCCATCTCCGTCTTGTTTCCAGCTCTTTGTAACGGGATGCTGTGGAAAGCGCCTGCGGTCTCAGCATGTGAACCACCTGAACACAAACAATAAGAGGTGAGTGGTTTAGTGAATAGGCTTATGAATACATCAGAATGTTCTTGCTGTGATTAGATGCTGAATCTTTTATCACGGTATAGATGTAAACTGCAAAAAAGATGACTTTAACAGGTATAATAACCAAAAATACTTTGTGTATTGGTTTATTGGATACACAAGTTAGGATTAAACAAATATTTCAGCCAAATTAAATTGCAAAAGGTTTATAAAGTACATTAGGTAACACTTTACAATAAGTGAATGTTAGTTAATCAGCAGATGATGACGATGATGATGACGTATTTTGATTTAACTGGCCCATAGCCAGCCTGGTGAAAGGGGTGTTTCTTTTTTTCTCAAAAAGATGACCTTTTTGCAGTTATAAGCCTCAGTTTCTATTTAACTATGACATTTAAATACTGCATTTTAGTGACTTTTTTTGCTGGATTAGTTAGTCAGATTTTATAATAACCACACTTTTTGATGTACTAAAAATATTGAATAAAAATTCCACTTAAAAAAAGTCAAACAAGATAAATTTTTTAAATACAAATTTATTACATCATATATCATTAAGACAAATAGCAATCTGTTAAAGTCTGTTAAAGTCTGTAAAAAGCGCACCTACAGGTGTTTCAGGCGCAGGTCAGATTTTCTCCACGTCATAATTTATTTTGTTTATATTAATTTTGTCCAAAAAATAATTATACCTGTCCATTTTGTACTCCGCTTGCCATTAAAGCCTTCGTCGGACAGTCATTTAAAAAAAATTATGTCAAAAATAGGGAAAGGGAGATCATGTACTGGACAAGTCAATAAAAATACAGGACATCCCGGCTAATGGGGCCAGTTAGCCTAGAACACAGGTGTCAAACTCAGTTCCAGAAGGGCCGCAGCTCTGCACAGTTTAGTTCCAACCCTAATTAAACACACCTGATCAAACTAATTGAGTCCTTCAGGCTTGTTTGAAACCTACAGGTAAGTGTGTTGGAGCAGGGCTTCGGCCCTCCAGGAATTGAGTTTGACACCCCTGGCCTAGAACCTCATGGGATAGGGGCAGATTTTCATCTGTTAGGAAGTAAGTATACTTTAGCCTTACCCTGTTTGGCAGTCTTTTCGAACATATGTTCAATATTTTACAATAATGACGCCACTGCCTGCCTTTTCTGCCTTCTTGCTCTTTTCGACCCACAGGGTTACTCAGTATGGATGTCGCATCAAAGATTCAAATGTGATCACTCAGTGGGTTGTCACATGACTCGCGTCACATTATTGTGCTCTATGGGATTCCAATTACTGGCTGAGTTAATTAAGATTACTCTTTATTACAATATATATTGAATATAAATATATTATATTCATTATATAATAAATACATTATATAATTTTAAATTACATAAAATAATTAAAAGGACAAATTCTGGACCGTTTGGGGGTGGTTCGTTTGAACCACCCGAACCCCCCTGGCTACGGGCATGTTTAATGTCATGTCAGCAATAAAGACTATTTCATGGTAAGAACATTTCATGAATAAATGTACACTTAAAAAACAAATAAACAAAAAACTAATACGTAAATTAGATAAGATTTTTATTAAAATAGAAAAATCCTGATATATTACAGACATAATATTAATATTAGTTAAAAACTACAGCTAAAATGTATTAGATATTTACTAATATCTAATATTATGGAAATTTGAGATATTTACTGTCAACAACACAATTGTATTCACATTTTGACTAATAGTGAGATTAGAATTAGTGTTGGCACACATATCCAGTTTTACCCAGTCTGCGGTATCCCTCTGTGCCAGAGATGGGCCCTGGAGCCACGGTGTTCACCCTCACACCGCTGGGGCCCCACTCCACCGCTAAATGCCTCGTCATGGCATCTATAAACACACAGTGATGGGGAGATAACTCATTATGGTAATGGTGTCAAATTAAATGTATTAAAGTGAGTTTATAAATACAGTTGAAGACAAAAATATTTTCCCAAGTGATGACTAACAGGGGAAGGAAGTTGTCACTGTAGTTCTTATAGTTAATATAAATATAAATATTTTTTTATTATGTTTTAAAACATTCAACATTAATAGCATCCTTCCGAATTTTATTTGATTGGCTACAGAACAAACCACTGTTGTTTGATGACTTGCCTAATTAACGTAATTAGTAAAGTTAAGCATTTAAATTGAATTTAAGTTAAAACATTATTTATAATACTTACTATTACAATTTTATGTACTGTCATCATTGCAAAGACTAAATAAATTAGTTATTAAAACTATCATGTTTAAAAATGTGGTGAAATCTCATTAAACATATTTAAAAAAAATAAAAATAAAATAATAATAATGATAAAAATTTCATAGAAGCTAATAATAGCTAATAATAGCTACAGTATACACAAAGAATACTAAATGTCAGTAAAGTGTGTGTTTTAATGTTTCAAATAATGTCTAAAGTCTAATAATTAAAATAATAGTGAAATAATGTTCAATCATATAATTTATATATATAGAAATAAGCGATCACACTAAATTAATATTGTAAATAAGTTTAAAAAACGTAAACCTAGTGGTTTGAAAGGTGGAAAAAATTCAGTTTGGCATTTTAGCTGTGTCTTCTGTTAATCATATAAGAGTCATTATTTTGTTTGCTTTGTGAAGTTTATTCATAAACTAATTTCGAGAGGATCACGTGATTACGATTGAACACGGCTGGTTCTGCATTAGCATGTATGATCCACCAATCAGGCCATTCCTAACCCACTATAAAAAGCCAGGGTTTTT